TGACGGAACGTACCGAGCACGATGGCGCAAATGCCGATGAGCGCGTCGTGGTGCTGCAACAGCAAGTTGAAGCTGCAAATACCATGGCCCGCAAGAACCAGACAGCAGCTGATCAAGCGTCGGAGAAGCTTCGACGAGCAGAAGAACGAATCGCCGGTCTTGAGGCCTATCAAGAGCAATCTAGTCGTGAGGGACTGACCATCCGTAAACAATTACAACAGGCTATGCGAGATGTACAGCTCTCCGAAGCTGAACGTACCGAGCTTCGCCAACAACACGAACGTCTGCGTCTTGAGAGCAATGCGTTTGAAGTCCAGCTCAAGACTCTTCGCAATCTTCTTGATGAAAGAGGTGTGAACCCTGTCGATACGCGACGCTCGAGGGTACTAGACAGTCCAAACTCAAGATTTGGCACACCTGAGTTCAATCGCGTTCGCGAGCTGGAACAACAGGTGGATTCTATGACTAAAGCACATGAGGAGTTGCGTTCCATGTTCGAGGAGCGTGAGCATGAGGTCAGTAAAGAATGGGAGGAGAAGCTACAGGCGCTTCACAACGACCACCAAGCTGCCGTCAAGTACCTCCGTGGTACAGAGAAGATGCTTTCGAAGATGAAACAGGAGCTTGATCGTTACAAGAGCGCGAACCTGAAGCTCGAGGAAGAACTCACTCAAGCGAGACAAGACAAGCGTAGCCCTGCTGACGAAGCTAATCACGCCGAATTGGACGCAGAACGCACGGCACTCCGCTCCGAGTTGGACAAGTCACGGGAGAACATGGAAGCAACCGTTTCGCGTTTCGAGACCCAGTTGTCCAAACTGCAGTCCGACCTGGCTTCCGCTCGCGCCGATGCTGAGACGGCAACGAATGCCACGAAGCAGGCCGAGCACCAGGCGGCTCAGTTCCAGGCAGACCTCGAATCGCTTCGCCGACAGTATGCACAGACAGAAGAGCGTGCACGCGAAGCTGAGAGCCGCGTCCAAATGTTCCTCGATCAGTTTGAGACATCGGTCGATAACTACCGCCGCCAATCCCAGGTTCCGGCTGAGAACGCCCACCCTGAACACAGTCGCCACCGGGCACACGATAGCGTTGCATCGGCCGAGTCTCTGTACAGCCACAACGATGGCTCCAGCACGCCAGAAGCCATACCCCGCCCTTCATCTTCTGCTACACGCAACTCAATGGCCCTTGACAATCTTGCTTCTGAGTTGGACGCACTCAGGAGTCACTGGGAAACTACCAACAAAGCTTACCGATTGAGCGACCGCTTTGATTTTGAACGCATGCCTGAAAACGATAACACTGACGACGTGGATGAACTTTCGCAATGGAGGAAGAGGGTAGAGAGCGACGATGGTCCACAGACTGCCACAGGCAGCCAGGACCCAAAATCTGTTCAGCCGGCTGCAACCATGATCTCGCCTACACAAGTCCACGGATCTTCGTAAAGGCACACGAACCTTGAAACGCTCTGCTGCTACTTGATGGGACATGTGTTCAGCGATTTGTAAGGCGTAATTTGGTTTTTCACACTTTCTCCTTCTCATGGTACCATCGTGTTTCGATGGGATTTCGTTTTATACCATTTTTGCTATTGCAGGATCATTGACTCAAGACTCTTGAGCTTCTTGCGCCTTGGTCCACTTTCTGGCACTCAGTTGATGTTGCTCAGTTTGCGCATCAATGACGTAGCGGTTTGCAAATCATGTCATGGATGTCAGAGGAGTTTATTGATTCAGGAACAACCACTGGCAAATGTAGGATTTTGACATCTTAATGTATATGATTTGGTATTTCAGAAAGTGAGCCTTTGACGCGCGCAAATTTGTTCATTCTATTGTTCGAGCAAGAGGCTGTTGACTCTTCACAAAAAAGTGAAGGTGAAGGGGACTCGACTAGCGCCCCGACCTCGTCGCTCTCCCACGTGGCACAATAGGAACGACGGGCTGTGATTCGCCAGGATCGACCAAACAATACGGTGACGTGAAAGTTACAAGCATCTTCGAGCTCCAGAATGGGACTTTGTACAGGAAAATATCACGCACTATTGTCCGACGTCTCGACAATGGGGAAAACGATACACACGGGGCAGCCCACGGGTCTAGGGCTAGTATAACATCTCTACAGCTTCTGGTCCTTCTCCTCCTTGCAACCTACTTTCTACTCACCAACTTCTATCTTTGCTCAATTTCTTCCTCTTCTTTCAACTTGCCTTGCTTCTGACGCCGGTCGTCTTTACATTCTCGCACTCAAACTTCTTCATCACTTGGTCTGGCACCGCTTCTCTCGAGCTACCATGTCTTCACCCCACACTCCTCACTCTCCGGCTCGCTCAGAGGCTATGGATCCAGGTGCTGATGGACGCAACGTTTCGACTGTTCTTCCTGATGTGCCTGTCAACGCACCTAAGAACTTGACTCCAAACTCGCCTGCTCCTCGCTCAGAGCACTCCGACTTGTTCGATGCTGTCCACGACACCTTTGTCGGTATCCCTGACTTGCCTATCGACGGCAACCCCGAGCTACCTGCCTTCAACCCCTTCCAGTCCATTGATTCCGGTCTTCATCAACAAGACGACGGCTTGGGTGATCTTTCTGGGTTCCAGTTCGACGCCGACTTTGCTCAAAACCAAGATCTCGGTCACAACGAACACGCCAACGATCACGGTGCCGTCCACGATGCCTTCACTACACTTGCAACAGCATCCACCAACAACTTCGACTTCGACACTGGAAACATGGAGTTTGACCACGGCCTGTTCGACAGCAACGAGTTCACCGGCAACCAAGACAACGCTGACTTCACTGCCACCAACTTGGAGCTATCCCTACAGCATACACTTGCTTCGACTCAGACTCAGGATGGAGGCTGCGTATCTACCATCGAGGAGCACACTGCACAAGCCTGCAACGAGAAGCCGCAGGTTCTAAAGTACATCAGTTCCGATGCCGAGTTCAACTTTGAGGAGTTCTGTGCACGCTTTCACTCTGGAGAACTCAGTCCAGCTCAACAGGTTAAGGCTGTCGCCGCCTTGACCGCGAAAAAGAAGAACGCCGTATACCAGGATCTGATGCGCTCTTTCGGATTCCAACCGACCAAGCCACGTGCTCCGGTCCCGGGGGGAGCTCTCACCGAGGACAACTACTTACCCATTCCATGGGAGCCCGAGATAGATGAGGATGGATATGAGATTATTCCCATCGAATTCGACGCTCCTGAGCCTGATCCGTCGGATCCACAGCCCATCTATCCAGCATTTAGCGGGCGCTTCAAGACCGGCGCAGCCGCTAGAGCATACCGCAAGCGCGCCCGCGTTCCAAAGAAGGGTCCAGCACCAGATGTCGAGCGCGTCAAGAAGTATGGACGTAAGTCACAGCATATTCATTACTGTTCCAACATAAACTAATCAGATCTTTTTCTAGGCATGTACTGGGTACGCCGTATCTACGACTCCATCATCGACGTCTCCGACGTCCGCGACAGCGGGAAATCGACCAAGCTCGTTCGCTTTGAGAAACAGGCGGTGTACGATCCCGCGGACATCGAGGCTACGGCTCACCACGTCTTCGACGAGGCCATCGCCGTACACACGCGAGGCTGGGTTCGCCCCAATGTCTACCACAAGAAGGTGGTTCGCGGCAAGCTCACCGATGTCAGCGAGGGGAGCGCGGAGAGGCGCTTGGCCCGTATCTGTTTCTTGTTGAAGCACGTGAAGGCGGCGTGCGATGATGCCTTGCGTGGAGGTCTTACTCTTGCGCTCTTGTGCGACAACCCCGAGGCGAGGGGCTCCACCAAACACTCGAACAACAGTGGCAACGGAAAGCGTGGAAAGAGGTTGAAGGTTGTGACGAAGATGTTGAAAGCTGGGTACACGGTTGAGACAGATGACGAGACGTCTGACGAAGAGCATGGCGAGAACGAAGAAGAGGAAGGCGAAGGCGAGGAGCGAAGTGGTGATGAGGTTTGATGGTGATGGCGGCGGCGATGGATGCCAGATCTTCACTGCTTTTCGATCCATTCCTTTTGAGCTCTCTGCTTGAGCGGCTGGTCCGCACAAGAGGCTTAGATGTTCGTTCGATATCAACTTCCATATCACGTAGTCTTTTTCAAGCTCAGTAGAACTTGACACCTCCAACGCTTTCTACTTCTTGTTTCGTGAACTTGGTACTCGGTGTCTTTTGTTGGTCCTTATCCGGTGATTGAGTAGCCTCTTGGATAGCAGCATCTTTCTGTGCCTTCCTCCTCTTCTTACTTTGGAAAAGAGCCTCTTCGTCCTGGATATCCTTCAGGACTATGACATGTCAGCTTTCAGACTGTCTCAAGTCATGTCGTGTTCCAGAGTGTTGGCTTACCCTCAGCCCATTCTCTTTCGTCGGCCTCATTGCCCGTCCCCAAGACCGCTTCTACGGAGACGTCTTCCCCTCTCTGTACACGCTCAATGACCTCTTTCAATACCCCAATCTTCGCTTCGGCTTTGTGAAGGTTGTGTGTCCTCTCCTGCTTCAACCATAATATCTGGATAGCCTGGCTGCCAACGAGCAGTCCAAGAATGATGTACGGGGTAGCGGGGTTCCATTCTTTGCGCCTAGGTCTCTCAGAGCGCGTCTTGAGTGGCGTTGGTATCAGAGAGGCCCAGAAGCTCGGCTGGACAATGCGCGGGAGGGACATGAAGCGTGGGTGCGACAGCGGGGGTGCGAACATGGCGAAAGCGCGCGCATTCGGACGCGTAGGCGCGAGTAGGGCGTTGCGGTGGCCTACGGGCATGCGCAGCAGCTGGCGAAAGAGTCCGGACGGGTCCATGGCTAGACGTTGCTTCGACAGGCGGGCTCAGGGCGCGTGTGATGGAACTTTTGGTCTCTCTACCACATTTTCGGATGCAGCGGCTCGAAGTGGTTAGCGCTGTTGGAGATGCCGAGGTCCCGCCCGCGGGCATGCATCTCGCATCATTGACACTGCTCCATCAGCGTCATGTCTCTTTCCATTCACGACCCTCGAATATGAGTAGATTTGCAAACAAGGAAGGCGCAAGAGGGGCCGCAGGAGGCGACGAGGAGGATCCGTCGCCATTTCAGAAAGTATCGCAATGGTTCGAGGCCATACGCGACAGTGATTACGATGCATGTTGCCTTGTCCCTGCAACTACGCTGCTCTAATGCTACATCTGTAGGGCCACGATGCTATCCTTGCGCGAGAACTCAAAGTCGAATCGGTTACCTATGCGCCGACAAGCAGCAATCCTCACGAGTCGCGCAACGTCATGAGCTTCACGGTACCTAAGCAGCTGTGCAACGCTGGTGGTATGCTTCATGGCGGAGCCGTGGCTTTGATCTTTGACATTACGACTTCCATGGCCATTACTCCTTGTATCCGCGAAGGGTTCTGGGACGGCGGACATGTCTCACGTAACTGTAAGTGCAACCTTGAAGCACCCAAGAGGTTGGAATATGGAATGTGCTAACTCAGCATAGTGAACACGACCTACCTTAGGCCTGCGGCTGAAGGCTCAAAGGTCTTTGTCGAGAGCTGGGTCGTCCATCTTGGGAAACGATTAGGGCAGACGAGGGGGGTGATGAGGCTGGGGTCTGAAGACGGCAAAGTCGGCTATACCTGTGAACATGGGAAAGTGAGCCTGGGTAGTAATCTGTAATGAATGCAAATGTCGGAGGCTGATAGAAAGAAAGACGGCGCAATGAAGCGACATGTTGTGAGGTGATGGGGATTGCGACTAGTGGACCCTGTATGTCATAGGTAGCCTTGTAGCCAACCCCAGCGCCAATGCATAGCTGCCATGGCCATACCGTAGGCTTCCCACGGCACCTGCAACTTCCACTACCACGACACCCACACACACCCAATCATTGCGCCAATGGACCTTGGAGATGAAGGGAGCTCTCCGTGGGGAGGTACGTGTCTCTTGTCCTGCCGACGACACTGTGCACAGCTGACAAGCCTCCAGATGTGCCCTCACGGTCGAGCCCTGCGCCGAGTACTCACAAAGTAGAGCAGAACGACAACCTGGACGCCGAATCTTCCACGACCTCGTCCAAGCCAGCGACCGATGCTGCCCCTACAGCCTCCGCCGCCCCGCGCTCGCCCGCAGGACGCGGCCCCCGGCGGCGACAGTATGGCCTGCAATCGACCAAGCTTGAGGCTGTTGATGACCCGCTGGGCCCTCTGGGTGCTCCCTCGCCGTCGACAGGCCCTGAGGTTGCTCCTCCAGCGCCGCCTCAGAAGGAAGCTGCTGCGTCGCGCACCACTCGGGCCGCCCCCGACGCCTCCACGCCTTCGCTGCGCGGCATGATGGATTCGGTCGATCTTGATGACGACGACGCGCAGCTACGCTCTTCTCAAGGAGCCAGAGTACCGCCTCCAGTACAGGCTCCTTCGAATGCCACACCCCAGCGCCAGACACAGCCAAGCGTCAGCGTCGAGCAGGCCGCGAAGCCGTCCTTTGCCATTTCGGTCGGCGACCCTCACAAAGTCGGTGACCTCACGAGCTCGCACACAGAATACTCCGTTACTACCAAGACGACGTCCAAGGGCTACCGCAACCCCGAATTTACCGTCTCGCGCCGCTACCGTGACTTCCTCTGGCTATACACACAACTGCACAACAACAACCCCGGAGTCATTATCCCTCCACCACCGGAGAAACAGGCCGTTGGGCGCTTCGAAGCCGATTTTGTTGAGTCGCGACGCTCCGCTCTGGAGCGTATGCTTAACAAGGCGGCTGCGCATCCAGTATTGCAACACGACAGTGACTTGAAGCTGTTCCTCGAAAGCGAAGCCTTCAACATGGACATCAAGAACAAAGAGCGCAAAGACCCCGGTATAAGCGAAAGCAAAGGCATGTTTGGCTCTATGCTCTCTGGCAGCAGTGGTAAATTCGTTGAACACGACGACGTACGTATAACACTTCTTGTAATTACTTACTATGCTAACAGTACCATAGTGGTTCCACGACCGCAGAATCTACCTCGATGCTCTAGAAGCACAGCTCAAAGCTCTTCTCAAGGCTACTGACTCTGTAGTCACACAGCGGAAAGGTCTAGCTGAGGCGTGTGGCGACTTCTCGGCTTCTCTGCATTCTTTGTCTGCTGTCGAGTTATCGCCATCTCTGTCTGGTCCGCTTGATAGCCTATCCGATATCCAGATTCGCATTCGAGAGCTTTACGAGCGCCAAGCCCAACAAGACATCCTCACCATGGGCATCGTAATAGACGAGTACATTCGTTTGATAGGTTCTGTAAAGACCGCGTTCCAGCAGCGACAGAAGGCCTACCATTCCTGGCATTCTGCCGAGCAGGAGCTACAGAAGCGGAAAACCAATCAGGACAAACTCTTGAGGCAGGGCAGATCACAGCAAGACCGTCTGAACCAGCTCAGCGCCGACGTTGCGGATGCCGAACGCAAGGTTCACCAAGCAAGGCTGCTTTTCGACGATATGGGTCGTCTGATGCGCAGTGAGCTAGAGCGCTTTGAGAGAGAAAAGGTCGAAGACTTCAAGTCAGGCGTGGAGACCTTCTTAGAGAGTGCTGTAGAAGCACAGAAGGAAGTAAGTTCACCTACCACGTCTGATATTCCGGCTTACTGACTGGCGTACTAGCTCATCGAGATTTGGGAGACTTTCCTGATGCAATTAGACACGGATGAAGGCGATACTTTCGTCCCTCCCGCGGGTGTCGTCGCTTCGTCGAACGTGGATGAGGCACCAAGTAACGATTCTACCAATAACCAAGACTCAGAAAGACCGGAAGTGGGTAACGAAGGTGTGTCAGAGGACCAAGACTAGAAGGGCTATACGAGTCGTGAAGCCTTTGCCATGTGGGAAGTGTGGGCGCGGCGTTGTGAGGATTAGCGCTCATGTCGGGATAACAACCCCCGATTCCCGTATATACCGCACGGGTTAGAGATACTCGGTGCTCGCTAGACAGTATGTCAAGTGAGCCGCATGTGGATACTGGATAATTCATAACCTGGGATGCGTGGAGCACCTCCCTGTTTGGATTTGGTAACATCATTGCAAGTAATCTAGCTCATGCTGAACTGCCTGATGGCCAAACTATGTGTACCATCAGGCCTTGACTCTACACATTGACAATTCACACCATTGGCTTTGAAGTTGTTAGCTATGCGTTTCGTTACATCCTACATGACAGTGCCTTGCGTCATCATAATCGGAGGTGCGCGTCTATCCGCTCCAGTTTTCGCTCCCTTCGGCGTGATGTTGCATGTCGGGCCAGGCGCGGGGTTGAGAACACTGTATCGTCAGCTGTCGGCCAAGTAGGCGCCGGCAAAAGAGGCGGTTCGCAGCCGGCTAATTCATTGCGGGCAATCGCCGACATCTTCGATGAGAAGCACCATATATAGCTGGGCTGTCATGCGAGAGTATCGCAAACGATACACATAACGTCTAACCCACCATCATGCCGCTAGTTCGTAATCCCATTCTTCCAGGTTTCAACGCGGACCCATCGGTCCTGCGTGTTGGAAATGACGGTAAGATATTGTTGTGTTCAACTTGAGAAAATGAGCTAACCAGAGTACCATAGTGAGTATTATAGTTTCTACAACTCCCCGATTTCGACTGCGGGACTACCATGAAAGCTACCGTTGGGATTTTTCGATGTGATCCGGGGATGGTTGAACCTCAGACCTTAGAAGTAGGCCATGGCACATACTAATTGTGTCAAATTAGTACTACATTGCGACATCCACTTTCGAGTGGTTTCCAGGAGTGCAAATACACCACTCCACGGATCTCGCCAACTGGGAGCTCGTGACACGCCCACTGAGCAGGAAGAGTCAATTGGATATGCGCGGTGACCCCGATAGTTGCGGTACGTATTCGATCAAGATTGACTATATTCACGCAGTTCGTAACAGACTTTAGGTGTATGGGCACCTTGCCTCACTCATGACGGCAGCAAATTCTGGCTGGTGTACACAGACGTCAAACGCAAGGATGGCTCCTTCAAAGACACGCCCAACTACATCGTCACTGCCGATCGCATCGAGGGTCCATGGTCTGACCCCATTTACATCAACCACTCAGGATTTGATCCTTCACTGTACCATGATGACGATGGCAGGAAGTACTTCATAAATATGCTGCAAGATCACCGAAGACGTAAGCAGTTCTTCGTTGTAAGTAAATCTCTTCCGGCGACAAGTCGTTGCAGCAGATACTGAGCTCGTGGATCTACTTTTAGGGAATCAGAATGCAGGAATGGGATCCTGAAACGAAGAAACTTGTTGGCCCATGGAAGACTATCTTCCCCGGTAGCGACTTAGCTCTGGTTGAAGGCCCACATCTGTACAAGCGGAACGGGTGGTACTACTTGTTGACTGCTGAGGGCGGCACAGCATATGAACACGCCTGTACCTTGGCACGATCCCGCGATATCTGGGGCCCATACGAACTGCACCCTCAAAAGCACATCATCACTTCCAAAGACGCGCCGCTAGCTTCGCTACAAAGGGCGGGTCATGGAGATATAGTCGACACTCCGGACGGCAAAACATATATCGTCCATCTGGCTGGCCGCCCTACCACACAATTCCGTCGCTGTGTTCTTGGGCGTGAATGCGCTATTCAAGAGGCTTACTGGGACAAGGACGATTGGCTATATGTGAAGAACGGACCCGTTCCATCTCTTCATGTCGAACTGCCGGCAGCGCGCGACGATACCGCATACTGGGCTGAGCAGCGGTACGAATTCAGCAGCAAAGATGGTCTCCACAAAGACTTCCAGTGGCTCCGCACACCAGAGCCAGAGCGCATCTTCGACGTCAAAGATGGTGCTCTGCAACTCATTGGGCGCGAGGCCGTTGGATCCTGGTTCGAACAAGCCCTTGTTGCACGCCGTCAAACGCATTTCTCGTATGATGCCGAGACAGTCGTTAGCTTCAGCCCAGACGACGAACGTACATTCGCAGGCCTGACTGCCTACTACTGCCGCTTCAACTTCTTCTACCTGACCGTCACGGCCGACTCTGATGGCAAGCGCGAACTGCTCATCTTGAGCTCGGAAGCTTCGTGGCCGGACGGCAATTTGAAACTCCCGCTCGCGGAGCCGGTGTCACTCCCACAAGAGGGCAAGGTACGATTGGCGCTGAGCATTCGGGGTAGAAAACTCCAATTTAGCTACGCGCTAGAGGGACAAAAGGACTTGACAGAGATTGGACCGGTCTACGATGCTTCGATCCTGAGTGATGAGTGTGGTGGTCATCAAGCGTGAGTTACTTTCCTCTGTCACTCACATGAAGATGCATACTGACTTTGCAAACACAGACATGGAAGCTTCACAGGCGCTTTTGTGGGTATGGCGGCATCTGATTGCAACGGCACAGAGAAGGTGGCGTCTTTTGACTACTTCGTATATAGGCCTGCCCACCACGAAACCGACCGCTACGATATGTGATAAGACAGTGTATATTCGTCCGCACCCCAGCGTAGCACAGCTCCATCCAATATCGAAGATGCCCTGCTTGACATGGTGCACGCACAAGTCCGTAATCTCATCAGGAATGTATGCCTACAGCTTGGCTGAGGCATCTATTGCACGAGGGCACGAATACGTGTTAGACAGGATGTGATAACCGGTAGTGTTGATACAAGATCGCGGCTTGAAGTGTTTCAGACCA